CCAAACATTTATTTGACTCAGTATATGACTCATGAAGAAAATTATTTGAAATAAGGTACTTCTGTTTTTACAGTCACGTTTATGACCATAACAATATTTTAGATGGTAGTATCAAAACATTAAGATCTAAATCTCTGCTACAATTTCAGCCTTGTCATAGAATCTTAGAGCTGGAAGAGACCTCAGGAGGTCATCAAGTCCAGCCCCCTGCCCAAAGCAGGACCAATCCCAACTAAATCAACCCAGCCAGGGCTTTGTGAAGCTGAGACTTAAAAACCTCTAGGGATGGAGATTCCACCACCTCCCTAGGTAACCCATTCCAGTGCTCCACCACCCTCCTAGTGAAATAGTTTTGCCTAATACCCAACCTAGACCTCTCCCACTGTAACTTGAGCCTATTGCTCCTCGTTCTGCCATCGGTCCCCACTGAGAACAGCCTCGCTCCATCCTAAAGTGAAATAAGGGATAAGGGATCTTTCGGAAAAGGCTTTATTTTCCGAAAGATCAGTGTCTAGACTGGTGCTTTTCTCCGGCAAAGCTCCGTGCCGAAAAAAAGCGGCAGCCATTTTTATGCTGATGAAGCGGGGGAGATTTAAATCCCCGCTTCATTTGCAATTGTGATATGTCTAATTTGCATCCCTTTTATGAAAAAGGGATGCAATCTAGACACAGCCCAGGTGTGGCCTCACCAGAGCCAAATAAAGGGGAATAATCACTTCTCTAGATCTGCTGGCAATGCTCCTCTTAATGCACCCTAATATGCCATTAGCCTCCTTGGCTACAAGGACACATTGACTCCTATCCAGCTTCTCATCCACTGTAATCCCCAGGTCCTTTTCTGCAGAACTTCTACTTAGCCAGTCAGTCCCCAGCCCGTAACAATGCTTGGGATTCTTCCCTCCCAAGTGCAGGACTCTCCACTTGTCCTTGTTGAACCTCTTCAGATTTCTTTTGACCCAATCCTCTAATCTATCTAGGTCACTCAGGACCCTATCCCTGCCCTCCAGCATATCTACCTCTCCCCCTAGCTTATTGTCATCTGCAAACCTGCTGTGGGTGCAACCCATCCCCTCATCCAGGTCATTAATAAAGATGTTGAACAAAACCAATCCAAGAACAGATCCTTAGGGCACTACCCTAGAAACCAACCGCCAACCTAACATCGAGCCGTTGATCACTACCATTGGGCCCAACAGTTTAGCCAGCTTTCCATCCATCTTACAGTCCATTTCTCCAATCCATACTCCCTTAACTTGCTGGCAAGAATATTGTGGGAGACGGTATGGAAAGCTTTCCTAAAGTCAAGGTATATCACATCCACTAACTTTCCCATATGCATAGAGCCAGTTGATCATAGAAGTTAATCAGATTGGTCAGGCACGACTTGCCTTTCATGAATCCATGTTAACTATTCCTGATCACTTTCTCCTCTTCCAAGTGCTTCAAAATGGATTCCTTAAGGATACCCTCCATGATTTTCCCAGAGACTGAGGTGAGGCTGACTGGTCTGTAGTTTTCTGGATTGTCCTTCTTCCCTTTTTTAAAGATGAGCCTACATTTGCCTTTTTCCAGTTGTCCAGGATCTCTCCCAATCTCCACGAGTTTTCAAAGATAATGGCCAAAGGATCTGCAGTGCCATTTGCTAATTCCCACAGTACCCTTGGATGAGTTAAATCTGGGCCCATCGATTTGTGCATGTTTATCTTTTCTAAATAGTTCCTAACTTGTTCTTTCCCCACCAAGGGCTGTCCACCTCCTTCCCATACTGCGTTGCCTAGTGCATTTGTCTGGGAGCTGACCTTGTCCGTGAAGACAGAGGCAAAGAAAGCATTGAGTACTTCAGCTTTTCACACGTCATCTATCTCTAGGTGACATCCCTCATGGGTAAGGGCCCCACAACCTCTCTGATGGCCCTCTTATTGCTAACATAGAAACCTTTCTTGTTACCCTTCACATCCCTTGCTAGCCGCAATTCCAGTTGTGCTTTTGCCTTCCTATTAACTCCCTTGCATTCTGGAGCAATATATTTATACTCCTCCCTAGTCATCTGTCCAAGTTTCCACTTCTTCTAAGCTTCCTTTTTGTGTTTAAGCTCACCAAGGACGTCCCTGGTAAGCCAATCTGGCTGCCTACCATATTTCTTTTTCTTGCTGCGCATCAGGATGGTTTCTTCCTGTGCCTTTAATGAGGTTTCTTTAAAATTGTGCGATTTTCCCCTTCGTGTAAGCATCCCAGGGAATCCTGCCCATCAGTTCTCTGATGGAGTCAAGGTCTGCTGTTCTGAAGTCCAAGGTGTGTATTTTACTACTCTCCTTTCTTACTTTGATCAGGATCCTGAAATCTGTCATCTCCTGATCACTGCTTCCCAGGTTATCACCCACCTCCACTTCCCCTATTAGTTCTTCCCTGTTTGTGAGCAGACGGTCAAGCTGCGCACGGCCCCTGGTCGGATCCTTCAGCACTTGTGTCAAGAAGTTATCCCCAACATTCTCCAAAAACTTCCTGGGTTCTCTGTATTGGTCTCCCAACAGATTTCAGGGTGATTAAAGTCACTTGATCCTAAATATTCTTGTTATAGCAAAATAATTTTAAAGTACTTCCGAGCTGTGTGCATTTGATATTTATTATTTATGTAGATGTCGGTACGTTTTATGGGGAAGAGAGGGGAGCAGGAGGAAGTGCAATTCTGTAATTTCGAAGTGCTGTCTCTGTTGGGGAACAACATCGCATTCTCCAATAAAAAGATGAAATTCGGCCGCATGTAGAGGAGCTGCACATAGCCTGTGAAGGGCAAGAAACAAAGCCTAAACAAGGCTTCCCGTGATGCCTTTTTTTACAGGAGTGAATTTTACCCCCGAGGGAAAAGAAAATACAAAGGTACCTTACATTTCCAGAGCCAGTGAAAACACCCAGGCCTCTCAAAACATCCTTTGGTACTTTCTTGTCAATGAGGTTCCCTTATTTGATCTCTCCCTCCTACTGTTTTTCTCTCTCTATTACAACTGATTAAGAGCTAGGTTTTACTGTAATTATCAATACTGTCCTGATGGTTTGACTCTTTCTTCTAGCTTATGATGGTTCGGTAGCGGTGGCGCGCTGCAATGTTTTCCACCCCTCTGCCGTGTGTTCAAACTGATCCCAGGATACAGTTATCAACATTCCGACAACACGCACTGTGCTCATCAGTGACATTTGCCTTTAGTTCCGGGGGCATCTCTTCCTCCCTTCCCCACGTGCGTCTGGCCAGCTAAATCCCGTCTCCTGCAGCCTCGTGGTTTATAACGCCACTTTTCTACATTACAGAACGAGATGAATATGAAACTGTCGTTCGGGGAGCGATATCAGTAACCTGCTTACAGTTGAGTTGTACACTTGTTTTAACCGCAGTGTTAGATGTTCTAGGCTGGCGAGTCACAAAATGTTAATGAGACTCTTGACTATGTTACGTAGCTGGAATTGAACGCAATGAGTTTCCCAGAGCTTTGGAGGGCAGAATTTGGCATGCACAATGGGAATAAATTTCACTTCCAGCGAAACCAGGAAAATCTCACTACATTCAGAACTTTATCTTTGCTTTCAATGCCGATTGCTTGTATCCTTTGGTATATATGGTTGTGACAATTTGCTGCCACTATTTGATCTGAGGAAGTGGGTCTGGCCCACGAAAGCTCATCACCTAATAAACCATCTTATTAGTCTTTAAAGTGCTACATAGTCCAGTTTTTTGATTGCTTGCTGGTATGTCTCTTTGTCCCTTACGCGATATGCGCAGCTACGCTGTTGTGTTACTTTCCCCGGGGTGACATGGAAATCTTCATACAAGTGTAGCAGTTTATGGTCTGCTTTCATATTCGGTGGTTATGGGGCTCGGATTGTGCAGTAGCGGTGGGTTATCTGAAATAAAACCTGTAGCTGGTATCATGAGCTTTCGTGGGCACAGCCCACTTCCAACTCCATATTTTGTTAGGCTATAAAGTGCCACCAGCCCATTTGTTGTTTTTTCAGTTTTCCTGTACAGCCTAACTTGGCTACCCCCTGAAAGCTTCTGAAATAAAACCCGTCGGGCTTTTTAAAGGGTGTCTGTCTCCATTCCTGGAAACGTTTGCTGCAAATCGAATAAAATCAACGTTGTCCATATTTTCTGCCTTCCCGTTGTGACCCGGACACAGGGCACTGTCATGAGAAGCGCTTGGACAGCATAGGTGCTGTGTGTATTTCCTGCGGTCTGCGGTCTGCGGTGCCGGTGGCAGAGGGATTTTCCAGGAACACCTTGACGAAAAATACCTGCTCTCATAACAACCTGCACGTAACATCCACCGGCCAGCAGCCAACGCCTCAATCACAGGGTAGGGTCAGGGACCCACACCTGCCAGCGATCCTAGAGCCAGTGGGGGCCTCCCGAGGATGCCGGTGGTCCAAGCCCAGAGGCCGGGGCCCAGGCGGCAGGTGTAGTTGCAGACAGCAGGTGCAGGGGCTGGGCAGGCGCAGGGGAGGTGGGCAGGGCATGGGAGGATGGATTACGGGCGAGAGTGGAGTGGCGGTTCGCGGTCGGAGGGAGGGTACCGCGGGAGCGAGAGAGCCAGGGATGGG